TCGATATTTACAAAAACTTTGAGCAGCAAATTCTAGAACTAGACTCTATGGATGTTACACAAATGCTTGTATTTTTTGCAGACAGTTCAGACTGCAATGAAGTTATTATAAATTCTGAAAATCAGCTTGATGTTAAGCATAATATTAATTCGAGTATAAATGAATGATCTAAAATTAAAATAATATCTAACATGAAATTACCACTTTTACCAGAAATGAATAAAAATATTCGCAAAGACAAAAAGAATTACTATGAAAAAATTGAAGAAATTTTAAAGATGCCACACACAAAAAATACAGTCGAATTGAGAACCTCCTTTTTTTGGAAGTCGATTAAAAACTAGCTGATGCCTGCGACTTTGCCTGCGTAGAAAAAAACTTCGAGTAGCCTACTGTACTGTACCAATTTTCATAGCTTTATTGGTTCTCCATACAAACTTTAATTATTATATTTCACTCCATTTAAAATTTATTTTTGTGTCAAAAAGACACCTATGTCCTTCTCTTAGGTCCCATCTATCTCTTTACCAAAATTCATCAATATTGGTTCAGCGGTTTAGGAGTGAAAACATAACAGAGTTTTAGCGTTTATAATATTTGTTTGGATAAGACCGACTCATTGAAGGACTGGACAAACCAAATCAACACACGCGTAAAGGTACATGGCATCAGTGCTAAGAAGTTATTAAATAGTCACCGGACTGAAGAAAGAATGCATTACGTTGTTCATTAAAAAATATAATGTATACTTTACATCATTCCCAAGTACTATCTAACTTCAAAACACCATTAAAACACAATTTGCCCAAAAGAGGGTACGGAATTTTCATATATCTATGTATGTTCCAGCAGGGCTGAATCCAGCAGACAAAGGCACTCGCCTCGGCAAGGTGGAAAAATCGTCATACCGACGAAATCCCCGACGTTCTCTTACTTAAGGAAAACGAAAAAAATGGGCGTCTGACCAAATGAAGGAGCTTGTCGTTACAGAAAACCGTGAAAGAACAAGATACGAATAAAATATATATTGAAAGAGGTACTTGAGAGAGACAAAATTGAAAACCGGAGGATCGTTCGACAGCTGATACTGTTACATATTCCAGACGAGTTTAATGAGAAAGTTACTCAACTTAAACGTAAATTATGGCAATGGTTAAGGGCATTAACAAACGTAAACTGGACTTAAGGTAATAGATACCCAATTATTTTACCGAAATCTTATTATGATTATAAAAGTAAAGCACGAGGAAAGCTACCATATATAGGAGGTAACTACGCGATGGTGTCCTAAACTCCAGATTTTCCTTCAGAGAGATCCAATTACAGTTCACCATTTACCTACGCAGGATCAGATTATCTTGCATCTGTGCTAGTTAACATTGAAAAAGGTGTAAGAGCAGACGTACATCTGGAAGAGGTTAAAGAAATGACGGCGGAAAAACATTTCTTGTCTTCAGGAGAATGATTTCAAAAGTAATAACTTCAGATAACCCACCACAATTTAAACTCACATCTGAAGTTCTAGCTAAATCATTCTGCTAAACCATCCAAAGTCACAAACAACGGAAATTTATTTCACAACTAGCGCCACGGCTCTGAGGCTTTCATGAAAATTTTATGGGGCTTCGAAACCTGAAGCACTTTGAACGTCAGATTGATTTTTAAGTAATGTGGTTATGGGGTAGACCCCATCAACCCACTTACCTTGGGAATTTCTTCACAACATTGTTATTTATTACTGAGGTTATACTATGCTTTCCTTTTTTTATTCTTACTATTATACTATTCTTGTGTTCTCGTCGATCATTGGGAAATATGATTTAGCATCTGACAACGAAATACAAATTTGAATGATTGAAAATCAAATAATCTCAGTATTAAAAAAACCGACCACAAAAGTTCGCGGAATTACATCTATTTGTCTAGTTTTATTGAAATCGGTTACCGGAAAGTGCGCGAAACAGGATTCATCCCCTAGTTTGCCACCCTCAGAGGTTTAATTCTTCTTCAAATTCAAATGAGACCAGTACTGAGGTACCCTCTTTCGAATATGAAAAGGATCATCAAAATCTGTTCACAAATGCCCGAGTTCTCGCGTAACATACATACAAAAAAAAAGAAAAAAAAAATCACAGTAGAATTGAGAACCTCCTTTTTGAAGTCGTTAATAAAGGGAACGATAAGGAATACATAAATTGGAGACAAAATTTAAATGTTACAAACATTATTAAATTTATATACTATTGTTTTATTATGTACATATATATATTCCAGCCGTAGATTAACATATTTTTTAACACTGTTTATTAACAAAATACATATCACATACCTCTACCTTTTACATTATAATAACATATACTTCTATAAGTACACTTAAATATTAATTTGTTATTGCTTACGAAGTCCTCCTTTTCTAATCCCATCCTAGCAATCAACTCGTTACTATAGATACGTGTTGGTGCAGGTTTCTTTAAACTTTATTTTTTAAACAATTTAAAATGCAAGATCATATAATTAACAAATTTGTTTTTAACGAGTTATATAACGCACACACGCATAACATAATTTCTTTATATTATTATGATTTATTTAAACAGTTAAGTATAAATGATTATCACTAATTTCGGGTTTCTTACTACGTTATGACTTCTTTTTATTTTCCCGATATTTCGGAACGGTTGCACGCTCCATGGTCACGGGTTGACTGGACGGCGGCCGCCGTGTTAGGGATAATCATTTAGTGAATAACCACGAAAGCCTTAAAATCTATATAGTTAAGTAATTAAATTTTAAAAATCCATTTTCACATTTCTTCAGCTTTAGTTTAAAAAATAAAAATTTAAAAATAATGTCGTTAGCTCGAACATTACGCTCGAGGAGCCAAAATATTTACAGGATGTAACTAAATAAATCATAATTCAATTTAAAATATATACGAATAAACAAGCAAACAAGTAAGATCAGGTGTTTACGGGGGCGGGGTTAAAAAGTTCGCGAAATGGAGGTCAAATCTAGTTATTAATGCATTAGTTATCGTTAGATTAAGAAATTAATCGGGAATAAATTGCTATGAAACAAATTCGAGTTTCGTGCCGTCATAAAATACCTTATCAGGAACAACGTAACATGTTTTGGCGAGTGATAATGAATGTAAGTGTTTTTCAAACAAACCAACGTATCGGGTTCTTTACAGGTCCCATGGTTACAGTTGACTGCATCAAAAACGAATATACGTGATCTAGATCTAAAAAAAACAGTTTGATTTGTAAAGAATGTCCACATAAATAAATCTTTTACGAGATTTGCTTAATGCAAAGGAGAGTATGTTAAAAGAAAAAATATAATAAATTGTTTAATGTTACGACACTCCCGATGCATGTCATTCCGCCAAGTTTTTAACCTTTCCCTCGCAGTTATTTTTTTAAATTTTGAGATCATGTTAATTTGTAAATTATTTACCTGAAATTGGGTAATAACGAAAATGACGTTTACTGTATTAACACTAAGGCTCAATTTATATTGCGGTGGAAAGGAATGGAAGCGAATGTTTGTAGCGATAATGTACACAGCATAATGAACTTTATGGTCAATTGTGTACCGGCCAAACTAGATACGAGCCAAAATCGAGAATGCTCGCGCATTCCGCGGAAGAATTTGACTCATTACTAGTTTATACGTTACATAATTGACTATAAACTTCAATTAGCAATGTATAATATCGTTATAAAATTTAGCTTCTATTTCGTTCAGCGGCAATATGAATTGAGTCTAAAGTAACGAAGTTTCCGGGTAACGCTAAAAAGATGACACTTGAGTTTTTGAACGAATTTCTGTATTTTTTGCTTTGATATCAAGTGACGGGGCGAAAAAGTCGTGCGCCTGGTATCAAGCGACACGCCTGCCCATAGCGGTTGCAGTATCATTCAGAGATGTAAATCGCAATGATCTGAGCAGCGTTGCGCCTGCGCCCATCATCATGAGACAAGTTTTCCTGTATTTTTTTTTTAATTTTTTTTTTTTATTGTGACTCGGCAAAATGACTGCACCGCGCCTGATGGAAAGTGCGAACACAGTCCAGAGATAAGAGTAACGGATGGAAAACACAAATATCTTCACTCCGTCACTATCATTTTGCCGGTCTGGCCAAATGCTTCTTCACACTACGTTTTTGATATTGGCTTACTTCGAGCACTGTACTTCTCTAGCACAGGTAATAATGCACATTACATAAACATGGCGCGAAATATGTATACTCTTTCCCGTAGGGCTAATACGACAGGGCGCGACTTGCGCAAGAGCGACATAAAACGCGAGATGCTGTTATTCTGTGCTATTTCACACAAGAGTTCAATTTACAACAAATAGTAGTTTGTTATAACAACAATATAGAACAATTCAACAAAAGACCAAACAAACACAAGTAATAGTAGCAGTAGAGCTTGTTTAAGCGTGCGTCCAGGGATTTACTGCCACCTTACCTATTTTTGCCGCCAAGCATTATTGTGTTCCGGTTTGAAGGTTAAGCGTGTTGGTGAAATTACAGGCGTACGGGACTTGTGAACTTAAGTCCCAGGGTCGTCACACCGGGGTCCAGCCGGATGGTAGGAATGTCTCTTTGTTTATTCCTTTGTATCAATAATGAAAACAAATAAGTAAATACGGCGTGGTCGTGCGGACGGAGGTACTCCCTGCACTTGCCTCTTCCGCACTCCTCAGCCCTCACCGCGTAGGAATATTCTGTAAATCGATACCTCCCACGATAGTTGTTGTAAATAAAAATACCATTTTTTGCTTTTTAACTGAAATATCCCTTTTTTATGTATATTAAACATTAAAGGTATTTTGATTGAAGTCATATTAAAAAATTGTACACTACGTGTTACGGAAAGACAACATGTGTCAAGATTCCACACAAATATGATTCACAGTGTATTTATTCTATAGCATTTAAATTTACTTGAAAAGAGCAATCCCTAGAGTTTCTTGCTCGTTCTTCTCAGGGAAGTTGGCACAGTGAACGAGCAGTAGCTTAAAAAATGACGTTTACAAGTGTTAAAATTTTACTTATGGAATAAATGTTTATTTGATTTTGACTTGACCTTGAATTGTTTCGGACGGATGTCAGACGAAGAACGGTAGTAAACCCCTTGGGACCTCCACGTTCAGCGTCCACAGTGCAAACCGCCGGGTCGCCGAGGTCGAAACAATGATTAACATAATAAATAACATGACTTCTCCTTTGCTACCGTCACAGGAGCCGAGCTGTCAAAGGGCAAATTAATATAATGTAGAAAGTACTACGAACTTTAAGGTCTTTACACTACGCAATAGCATCAGAGACTTGGTGGTCAAGTAAGGTCGTCAGTGGGGTCCGGTTCGTTGGTGACCTCGGCCGCCAGGTCCGCAAACTTAGCCACGTAGTCCACACTCGACTCGGCCATTAGTGACTGCAGTTGGGAGTCCACCTAGACAGGAAATAAACATCAGGCTTTTAAAAATCGGGACAGCAGAAGTAGGTCAAATTTTACAAAATGTTAGTTTTCTACAAATAAACTTTTTTAGTGTAGTAGTATATTGGAATTGTAGTTCATATACATAATTTAGGTTTTTTTTCTCAAATACGGTAGCACCGTCTGGACAGCATCAACTTTGTTCTCTCTTCTTTTCATCAACCCAATTACTTTCGATTACCGCCCGCCTAGAACTCTTTAGAGCCGACGGGGGTAGGAGGGACCACTTTGGGAAACTATGGTCTAGGCTCTTATGTATATATTATATCCAATGCTTTGAAAACAGTTAAATTACGTGACGTTTGGTTTTTGTATAAATGTTGAATAAGCACATCCTCTCGCTTCGCGAATTTTGATGTAATGGTGGTGACGGAACGAACGAACGAAAGATTAGTGGAAGGAAAAGGAATTGGAGAACGATTCAAAATTTTAAAAATAAGTGGCCTGGAATCAGTTAAAAGAGTGATATAATGGTGGGATTACAATGAAGGAGGTCAGCATCGTCACAGACTTATTGAAAAATGTCTCCTCGGTCAACGACTCACGGCAAGGTCAGGCGGGCGCTCGCAGTTCGAATCGAGGTGGTGCAGGAAGGAGGACAACGAGAAATCGTGCACTCCGCCCTCCAGCCACTCGCCCTCCGATTCGCGCAGCAGCCGCGACGGTGACAGCGACATTGACTCCGACGGCAGGAAGTCTGCAATGCATCCAGCTTTTACGGGCACTGATATATGATGCGGAAGAACACCATTGAAATCGAAACTTTAAAAAAAAATAAATAAATATGATGTAACGTAACGGACACAAAGTAAAAACGAGGAATAAAAATACGTTCACTTCTCTTCACAGCATTCACAAAATCATAAATTCATTTAAGGGGCGCTTTTATGATCGAATCCCAGTTCGGTTAATATTCAAAATTGTCACGAGCGTGAAAACTATAACGGAACAGCAACTTCGTACTAAAGGTGCCGTAAGAGCTTTTGCGCACTACGTCCATTCGTATCAGTTCCGAATCCGAGAAATGACGGTCCGAAATGGCATTTTATCTCTAGGTGTAGAAGCGATGTTCGGATTCGAATCAGGGGGTCTACTTTCGATCTCCGTCGGACATCCGTCCGAAACAGTTACTGTAAAATAAGTAATATTCGACAAAATTAAAAGACAAGTATCAAGTATGAAGCTTCATTCGCATCACGCGTCTTTTCATTTGGTCAAGTATTGCTTATTTGGCAGTAATTGTTTCGGACGTATGCAGGACGGGGATCGAGAGTAGACCCCCAGACTTAGTGAGTAGAATACGAATCGAATGTAGTGCGCAAATGAGTTACCAATACCTGCGCATAGTCTGTGCTTTTTAAAGATGTAAAATGACATTTGCAGGGTTGGCAGTTTTCATAAAATTGAGACTTTGGATTTGATTAAATCAAATTCAAATGAAAACCTTCAATGTCTCCCATTAGTATTTTTAATAATTTGACAACTAAGTTTGGCGTATGTATGTGTGAATTTTCAAAAATTAACAATTCAAATGATCCTGTGCCCAGCAGTTGGAAGAATAATGCGCCGATGGCGATTCAAATGATATAAGTTCGGCTATTTATTTCATAAGCGTGTAAACATTTAGTCGATAGTCGATATAATATTTATCTATTGCAGGTTCCAGCTGATAGCAAGCGGGAACTTTTGCGCAATGAACTTCCATTTTACTCCACCTTTAGAAAAGACAGACTATAGGTATTTGAGGTTTTTGCTATATGAACTAAAGTCTGTTCCAATACATTTTAGATGAAAAGTAAACAAACAAGTCACTGACCCGACCATAGACGGTTTAGCCAATTGTAATGCCAACTACAAACCGATTAATTAATGGAGTGATCGGTTTGTTTAATTGAGTCATAGTAGCGGTTTTCCTTACATAACATATAAAAAGCATATTTAAAATTTCCGAAATCTTAATTTTAAATCCTCTTTTAAATCCTTTACACTTAGATCACCTTACTCGTTCGATTGCGATTGAAATGTTCGATTTACTAATCGATTACAAAAACTTTAATTGAATAAACCGAATGTTATTTTCGGTACATATAATTAAAACGTATCGTCACTTTTTGACTACCATTTTTCAAATACGATTTTACGATGTTATTCAAATGAATATTGTTGAAAAAGTAATGAGCAATCAAGTCAAAATCTTCGAAATATATGTGAAAGTATTACTTATTCCATTTATTGAGTAATTGCTTTAGAATTTTAACCAAATGGTTTTGTTTACTTTTTGCCTAAAATGGATTGGAACAGACTATAATATATATATTTTTGTTCGACTTCAAAAAAAGGAGGTTCTCAATTAGACTATTTATGTGTGTGTATGTTAAGTGTTTTGTGAACCGACTCCGAGGTTTCTTTATTTGTAGGAAAGGGGTGCTTCAATAGAAGCGCCATTCAAATTTGAAGGAAATATGCCTCAAATGGGTGAAGGGTGACAAATTAGCGGATGAATCCATTTTATTGGATTTCACCCACTTTCCGTTAACGGACTTCAATAAAAATTAACATCAGCATCCCTTTTCTACAGCCCAATGCGGGTTGGGGATTTCATACGTTTTCCAAGTGTTGTGGACCTTCTTCAAGGTGCAGGTTTCATCACGATGTTCTCCAGGCAGTAGGTCAAACTATTAGGCTACTGCGGTAAAAAGGATCAACAGAGCAAGTCCTAAAGTTTCTTACTCGTTCTTCTTTCTCAGGGGAATCTGCCTTACTAATTAGTAGTGGTTGTATAATCAATGTAACGATTTCAAATGTTTTGAAGTTTCACGTCAACTTATATTATTACTACTCACTGGCAATATCTGCGCTGGTGGTTTTTTCACTTTCCCTGACGTCTCCTTGTTCAGACTCTTTGGCGCTGTAGCTGGAGTGTACGTCGGAGAAGCTCTCTGCTTTTATGTCTTTCGTATCGTCTTCGTCTTTGATTTCTTCCTCTTCTATTAAAAACAGAATTAAGATTCAAATATAAACGGAGAACTTATTGTCCTTTACGATCAACGATATCTATGTACTAGATGCGGCATACCATTAACACGCTGTGTTTCACTGATGTGCGGTGAAGACACTACACTTCAATATCATAGATTAATAAGCAACAAAGTGCTCTGACTGCACAATAACAGTGTAGGGATAACATGAATAATTTTTTTTTTTTTTTATAATAATAACGCACACAATCAACATAGCCCCGCACTAGGGAAACCCTGTGTCGCGGGTGCCATGGACACACATAGACAACCACAAATTACACCCAAACTCACGAGAGAAATAAATGTAGGCCATACAAATATTTCTCCCGGCCCGGGAATCGAACCTGGGACCTCTGCGTGGCAGTCCGGCATGGTAACCGTTCGGCCACAGAGGCAGTTAAGATAAAATAGTTACTAAGTTTTAAAATTTTCTGTTTTGTCTAAAGATCTTTGCCTATCCGCATAATGTACCTATGTAAATGTTATGTGCATGAAGCTGTTACTGAATGAACTAAATAAAGAAACATCCACAAGTGTACGTAACTTCGTATGCTAAAGTACATACATACATACATACCGCCACAGTGATCCGGACTTTCGACATATACGTACCGTGGACGTGATGGGCGCCATTGTTGTTGGGTGGTGGCGAGATGGGAATCTTGCGGTCGCCGTCGTGGAAGAAGAACTGCCCATTCGACTCGCTCAGCACGTAGAATAGAGACAGGCTGTGACAAAAATCATTATGTTAAACATATGCATATTACTTGGATTTGTATTAAACTACGTGCCTAACCACAGAAGCCGCATTCCGACAGCATGCCGTCGCGGTCCTGTTAAGTCAACTGCACCTGAACTGCTTTGAAACTGCAATTCAACTCCTATTTTGCAGTCGCAATGCAATTACACTAACTGCATCTGAACTGCTTTCAAACTGGAATTCAAGTTTTATTTTGAAGTCGCGATGCACTTGCAGCAAATATACTCAAACATGTTTTCCAACTCAAGTACTATTTTGCAGTCGCGATGGAGTTGCAGCGCTGTACTCAAACTGCTTTCCGACTGCAATTCAACTGCTATTTTGCAGTCGCGATGCAAAATAGCAGTTGCGACTGTACTCAAACTACTTACTATCCCGATGTCGAATGAAATGCTGGAATTTTACCCTGAAACCTTGTTAGTTGTAGCTTCAGTATGAAAAACTAGAAGATATGGAGTAACAGAGAATCAGGGGAAAGCACTAAGAAATAAATATTTATTTTAAAATTTTACTTACTCAGATGTGGTGGTAAAAGGAGGTTTGGGTAATATACGAGGTGGCGGGGGCGGCGAATTCGGTACTATCTTCACTGGTATTAAATCTGAAAAATAAAACTACCTTAGCAGCTTAATCTTGAGATAATGACATGTATGGTTGGCAACATGTACGCTATAGAGGAAGTGCTGCGTTAGGTTCCCTTGTGAGAGGAATTTAGAGAACGGTCTTTTCAAAATTTGTTCTGGACAATTTCCGTTCTAGCCACGGTGAGACAACAGACGCTGGTTCGGGTCCAGACGAATGCAATTAATTATTCTTTGTGTTTGTTCGTTCTTTTGTATCAATAATAATAAGAAACTAGTGGAGTACATTCACAAAAGAAATTAATATACTGGTAGTAGAAACACCACGATATTTAATACAATATGTATTGCAATTTTCTTCAAAGTTAATTTCCTAGCTTCGGTAATATTAGTACAAATGTCTGACTACAGATACCGGCGACGAATGCGGTTGACTGGCACATTAACAACTGGTTACAGAAATACTCTTTGTATTTAATCAATCTTTATACATAGTCGTTAATTATAACAGTGTCCGTTACATTTTCAAAGGAAAACAACACAAAGAGAGTTACTTAACGGAACATTACAGTAAATAAACATTCGTGCGTTTTTTTTTTTTCAAACATGTTTGGAGGTAGTATAAAATGAGTTAGGAGTAGGATAATAATTTAAGACTAGGATCATCCTCTTACTTAGGGACTATAAAAATATCTGATACAGAAGTTAATTGGAAGAAGGGCAATATGTGTACTGTAAATAGTAGTTTATATGACTGACCCGAGTGTTTTAATGCCTAATTATGGACAGTTACACACACTGCTTTATCTATACCATGGGGTATCAATCCATACAAATTAACTGCAGTTCTTATTTAAAATTGTAGATGGCGACACTTGGACAAAATGAAAGATATTAAGTATTTAATCTCCAAAATTTTAGATATTTCGTATTAAATAAGAAGTACAAAATATAAAAACGAAAAGTAAAACGATTTAAACAACATTTTAGGAGCGATCAATTAAAATTTATTTACAATTTTGAAAATTGGTGAAAACAAAAGGTTGTTGAAAAGATCGAAGGTTTTTCAATAGATTACTTTTGACGTGATAGTTTGCCATAAATTGTATAGATGGCACTTTTTTGAATTTATTCAAGAACTAAGTAACGTTTAGTTTTTCACGAGATAATATTGTATCATCTTAGGATTATATATATATTCCGGATTTATAATTAATGAAATAATATAATGAATACAATTTATTTAATGACATCGTGAATTTTCATATAAATTCAACAGTTTAGTGTTAAGGAAATAAGGTAATTTATTTATTTTCTACGAATTTTGAAGCTAACATAACGCTTGATGTGTCAATGTCAAATTTTTAAACTTTCATAATCGTTTACGGTTCTTTTGTGTATGGTTTGTGGAATTTTTCTTTTTTTTCGATATTGATGTGACCTTCAACGACTACTTTGAAATTGGACTTGTTTGATACTCGCACCACGCTACCCGGCTAACTCTTACTTATCTGACGTGACACGCTCAACATACGACCCTGCTTGTAAACGGACTTGGAATTTGCCTTCAGATTGGAATATCTTTGGAAAATGGCCCCGTCCAAGTGTGCCTACTTTAATTGCCATAATAAAGCCAGCCAAAAGTCTATGTTTCGTTTCCCGACGAACAACTACAATCTCTTACAAATTTGGCTCGCGAATTGTGGTAAGTTTTTTTCCTTTGTTTTAAAGAAGATGTGAGATATTTAATCACTAACCACGATATTCTGATGTTATTTTCTTTATTCTACATATCTGCTATTTGTTTTAGGTAATATGACTATTACTCATCTGAAACCAGAACAATTACGTAACAAATGCATATGTATAGACCACTTTGCTAAAGAATATGTTAAAAATGAAACTGCTCAAAGGGTAAGATTATCAAAATTAGCAATACCAATGCCGTACAAAGCCACTGAAACGAACTCTCAAGAATCACCAATACAATCAACATCTCGAGAATCACCTGAACCATCGACATCCAAAGGTACTTATCATTGACCTACCAACAAATGGACAACGGGTCTAATACACAAACCACAAAAAAATGTCCAGAATTAACCTATACATATAAGCGTAGTGATATGTAATGAAATATAAAAAAACTAAAACACTTCATTTAAATTGTAATGTCATTACAATTTAAAAAAGAATTTAAAGGCCCAAAAATTCGACATATTCAGCTTCTACTGGAAACTTAATAACAAAATGCGCCATTTTTAGCTTCTGGTGCAAACTACTTGAACACTCTTTTCTGTCAATATTCATTATTATATATGTTAATATTATGTTGAATTTTGTACAAAATTCACTTAAAGAAATAATAAAGAGTGGTGCAGATACATACAATTATTATAAATGTGAAAATAACTGTGTCTCTCTATTAGTTTTACTTGACATATTATAAGAAATATTTCAATGTTTCAAATTTTAGATTCCAACTAAACGTCAACAAAAATTTTCATAATCTCAAAAATCGATTTATAACAAAACCATTATGCTCTCAGTGAATTTTGGTTGCTTTTCACAAAGAAAAGTTTAAGTGTACATAGGTTTGTTTTGTAATATGGGCCATTCCAAAGTGACGGGTGGGACATTTTGACTCCTTTTTTCTTGAAGTTTAAGTAATTTCTCCCTAACCATTGGTTAATTAGACTTAAAATGAAAATATCATGAAGCCAGATGTGCAATTCAACTGCGACTATTTATTTACATAATTTTCTAATTGTTACGGGTGGGACACTCACAACACCCGGCTGTTTGAGTTGATGGATTCATTTTTTTATTATATGATTACTTGAATGTTAAGAATTCTATTTTATATATACACTTAATTAATAACTTTGATAAATTTTAAGGAAATTAATATGTTAAGTTGTGACGGGTGGGACGTGAGTTTGTGACGAGTGGGACGAGTTATAGTTGAGTACACAGAATTAATCAAATTACATTGCTTAATATGAGGTCCATCTTAGTAGCAAATATTTCATAATTTTTGTCTTATTAAGACATTTTAACACAAAAAAAACAAAGGACTGATAAAGTAATCCTATTATTTTTCTTGAAACACTATCTATGATGACATGAATCAAAGTCACTCAGGTAAAATGCGTTAATAAATTTGAAAAATCCTGCCACATCCTTGAAGATTATGTATCATATCAAAATATATCAAATTTTAGAAATTTTACTGAAATATATAGTTAAAACTAGTGGAAACAGACTTCATGAATTTCCTGATACTAAAAATCATCAGGAAAAATGTTGTACTTTTTAATTGTCTTTTTTTATGTGTTAAAATGTCTTAATTATAAGAATTATAAAAACATTGCTTACAAATGATGGTTCTACATATAAACAGTGTATTTTTTTAAATTCTATGTATTCAAATGTAACTCACCTGTCACAAGATGGTGTCCCAAATGTCACAATTTAATACAACAAATGTTTAACCCTGAAATTAAAGCAACTGTTACATCTAGTAAACATAGTAAAAACTCGAATCCTTGAAAATAAAAACATTTAGTCAAAGTAAAAACGTTTAGAAGTGTGTCCCACCCATCGCTGTGCACCCGTCACGTCACTTCTAAATCTTAATTTTATATACACCGTGACATTTTAGTGGTTGTTTTCCCGCAGCGAAATGATTTTGCAATGGACGTATAATCGACGAGTAATATTTTTTTTTATTAATTTTAAGTAACGTCGGATTTAGACAAGCATCGAACGAAACTCGAAAATTATCTAACACCCGTAGTAGCACTGCAGTAGGTAGTACTACTTTCATTCGAGTAAATGAAACAGTAGGTAGTACCTACTGTCATTCGAGTGAATGAAACAAAATAACGTAAGTGACCCATTTTTCCTTCATACTTTTACGGGCTTAGGACCGTCATAAATACTTATTACGTGCAGTTTACGGATCATTAAAAGTAAAAAAGACATGTTTAGATAGATCACGTTTTAAATGATCGTATTTAAGGCGTATTTAAAAAATGGAATCAACTTATTTACAATAATTATTAAACCGCCTTACCTAATTTGTATTCGTCCCGTATTTACACTTAAACTTCCCGATAACGCAATAATTGTTCGAAATGCAATCCGCCACGTTCAATGCACAATCTGGCACGTTTAATTTGATTGTTTTTTAACGATATTAATGTGTCTCTGTCACGTCTAACAACATCGAAAGCATCCGTTATTGCCGCCACTAACGCATCGCGAGTTTCGTATTCCTGCTGGTACACTAGGCGCTTTAGCTCAGACCACAAATAAAAGTCCAAAGGAGTAAGGTCCGGGCTTCTTGCTGGCCAAGGCACGGGCCCTGCACGCCCAATCCATCGAAGGGGAAACTCGGCATCGAGGTGGGCCCGCACGGCGCGCTGAAAGTGAGCCGGGCACCCGTCGTGCTGGTAGTACAAATCTGCTAGAAATGATAGGGGAACGTCTTCTAATAAGTCCGGAATAACGTTCCGTAACATGTCCAAATAACTTCCCCCCGGTCAAGTTTCCAGTGATGAAATGAGGGCCAATAACGTGGCCATTGACTATGCCAGCCCACACATTTACACTAAACCGCACTTGATGCGCACACTCGCGGATTACATGTGGGTTATTAAAAGCCCAAAAATGTTCATTGTGCTGTTTAAACAGTCCGACTCGCGTGAATGTAGCTTCGTCCGTCCACAAAATGTTCGCATTCCTGTTATCGAGCAACCACTGACAGAAAGTTACCCTGGCTGGCCCATCGTTTTCGTGAAGGACTTGCACTTTACGAAAATGATAAGGATGTAGTCCCTCACAGTTTAAAACTTTCCACACGTAGTATTGGCTTACGTCAAACCGAGCCGCAGCCATACGTGTACTTCGACGAGGATCTCGTTCGAAGTACCCGATGATCTCTTCGTCTAGTTCTGCTGTGTAAACAGCCGGCCGCCCTCTGCCCTGTGCATGCGCCGGCGTTCGAAACTGCCCATGGTCAAGCAGCCGCTGTGTTGCGGCGACAATTGTTCGTGCGTGTGGAACTTGGGGGTTTAAAATCCCCCGAAGACGCAGCGACTCCAAATGGTCTGGCTCCGCGTAAAGTCGCCGGGCGGCGTGGGAATCGTAATTAGCCCTAGCGTACAACTGCACCATCGCGACGTACTAGAAATTTGAATATTCGTAATGTCGATCCATTTTATGGTCATCGGTATGCGCAAATTCGCAAAACGAGCGTGGATGCGCTTGCGACGTCACGGGTCAACTGAAAGTGTAGCCGCTCCGTCGGCGCGGCGCGGTACCTGTCATCCACTGCAGTTTAAGTGCGTTACTATTGTTACTCGCATGTTCGAGTTTCGGGTATTTGTTTTTTGAAAAGATGTTTTTATTTTTTTATGTTTGTCTATTTTAAATATTAAAATTCGAAAGTACTACTGATAGCAGATCGGCCTGCCGCGGGAAAACTACCATTAAAATGTCACGGTGTATAATATAATAATATAATTTAAATTCCTATTTACGTGCACAATGCCCAACCAAGCCAAAATAATGACCGTAGCATATTTGTTACTATATATGATTCATATAAAATATGAATTATTAATAGTCCTTTAATAACAAATAATTTTATATTACAGCTCAAGAATTTTCTCCAGAATTAAAGGTTAAAACACCTACAAAAGTTTACAAAAGTTTTAAATCGAAAGAAGATCAGGAAGAAGAAACTTTCGTTATAGATAATGTTAGCACACCCAAATCTAGAAAACGTCAGATTGACAGAGGTGATGATGGTGATACTCCAAAGTGCAAGAAGCTAAAAAGTAGCATTAATCATGTTACTAAAACTCTAAAGAAAGAAAAAGATAAATACAATAGATTGCGCAAAAAAATGTATGGTAATAATATTGTAAATATTGATAAATTTGCATTTAAAAGTGAGACCTCAAAAGTACTAACTTTAATGCAATTAAGAAAGAAAAAGAAGGAATGGAGTGAAGATGAAAAAAAATTTTGTCTTGGACTATATTATAAATCACCAAGTGCCTACAAACACTTGCTAGAAGCTGGTGTAGTTTTGGCTGCACCCTCGACTATCCAACACTGGTTACAGGACACTAGCTGTTTTCCAGGAGTAAACAAAAGCATATTTAACAATATCGCAGATAAATTTAATGGGAAAACTATTAAAGAAAGAGCATGTACAGTTTGCTTTGATGAAATGGCAATCATGTCAAGTTTAGAGTACACAAAAAAATATGATCTAATAGAAGGCTTCGAAGACTTTGGAGAAAATGAGCGATCATGTGTTGATGCCAAATATGCTCTAGTATTTATAGCTAGAGGTATTTATAGCAGCTGGAAAATGCCTTTAGCATACTTCTTGGCTGGTAAAACAGTCAGTGCAGAAAAATTAGTAGATTTAGTTCAAAAAATTATAGATATTCTGTTTGAAAGTAATTTATTGCCAAAGGCGATCATATGTGACCAAGCCACCACCAATGTGAAAGCGATTAAAATGCTTGGAGTAACTATAGAAAATCCCTTCTTTTTTGTAAATGGCAGAAAAGTCTTTTCGATTTTCGACACTCCACATTTGATAAAAAACATAAGAACGAATCTTTTAAAAAATAATTTCTTAACAAATGATGGCGAAATTTCGTTCAGTGATATTGTACATGTTTACAATATAGATAAAAATAATAAAAGCAGAACACTGAAGAAACTTACTCCAGTTCACCTGAATCCCAACACATTTCAAAAAATGAAGGTGAGCTTTGCTACACAAATATTTAGCTGTTCAGTTGCGGCAGCAATTAATACGGCCGTTGAAAGTGGAGAGTTGGTGAATAATACAGCAAAAAACACTGCAAATTTCATCCAATTAGTGAATGATATGTTTGATTCTCTAAATTCAAAAAATAAAATTGACAAGAACCCATATCGATGTGGTATAACAAAAAATCTTGGTTCTAAGGTTCATGTAACACTTTCTACAGCAAAAAGAGTTTTTGCTGAACTAAAAAAGATTTCAGTTGACAAGAATGGGGTGAAAAAATTAACAGCTCCTCCCTGTTTTGATGGCATTCAACAGACAATTAATGCAATACTTCAGCTGTCATCTGAGGAGTTTTCGGTTGGAAGCGGAGTTAAATTTATTTTGACATATAGGTTTAACCAAGATGTCATTGAAAATTTATTTGGAGTCTACAGAATGAAAGGAGGCTGTAACAAGAACCCCACTGCAAAAAATTTAAGAGCAATGTTCAGAAGCCAATTACAGAATAATTTAATAAAATTACTTAACAAAAATTGTGAGGATGATGAAGACATATTTTTAGCAGGAAAAAAATGTGATTCACGATCCCAACAGGTAAAGGGTGAACACCCTGCAGCAAATATGAACCAAGTGGAAGAACCTCCTGCGATGCTAGAGAGGGTAAACACACAAAGTGTAAAAATAGAAAAAGACGATGCTGCTACAACAGGTACTACCCTAGAAAAATGTTCTGTTATTTATTTCGCAGGTTGGATTGGTAAAAAATGTATTGAACGATTTAATTGTGATGAATGTAAAAAAACACTTTTAAAAGATGATGTTGATTTAAATGACAAAAATCAGTTACTTTTAATTAATAAAACATATGCCAATAATGAAATACCTACATTAAAGTCTCCCACCGATTTTTTATATAAAATAGTAGATACATCCTTGACAATATTTGAAAACCAAATGGACAGTATTAGTTTCAAAGAAAAAGTCTTATACACTCTAATAAAAAAAATTGAAAAAGAAATTGATTATTCTACATTTCACCATAAAGAACATTTACAATACGTAATTGAAAAATTAATAGAAACAAAAATTTATGATTATTGTAAAAAAAGGAAGAAGTCAATGAGAGAAAAAGAAACAATGAAAATTAGAATAATGCAACATAATTGATAGCTCTGGGCGGAACCTTTTTTAAGTTTGTACCATTTCTATTGTCTTAGATAATGTTATTACATTTTGTGAATAAACCAGTTCTTCACTCATGAAAAGGTTTTTGTTTTATTTATTACATTTACAAAGATGAAATTATCACCGGTAATAACTCACCCCCATATATAAATATATATAAATTTATCATAATTGTCAGTGTTAATTGTTAATCAAAAACATTAAAAATTGATTAATTGTTAATTGTAGATATAGGCGATTAACGATTGATCAATTTAATTGTGGTTTAATTAATTTAATTAAGTTGTTTGTTAATTGTGGTTCTCGCAACTATTGTCAATCTTTAATTGCCAGAACAATTAAATTTTGCCCGACACTGGTATATACAAAGGGCTTCCCCTCGACTATTATGTATGTGGGGACTTCCCGTACTTTTAATATTGTATAGATAGGATATTTTGCTGCTGCTTATTGCTGACATTATTTTGTTTTTAAAAGTAAGTAATACATGTATTGCTATACCGAAGACTTCTAAATGAAGCGTCACCGAAAACCACATCCAAATTGGTTCAGCCATTATGGAGATTAAGCATGTGCAAATGCACCGAAAAATTATAAAAATTTATATTATAAGTTATGTAGCATGTCTTCAGTAAGTATTGACTTTTACTTAAAAATATGAAATGTACAGACTCGGCTTCTTTACGACTTATTACAATAATAATTATTGTATTATCAGATTATCACGGAGTAGGTACCTATATATGTCGTCGTCGGTGTTAAGGTAAAAGTAATCCTCCCCTATATTGAATAGGCGTATTATTTATTGAAATTTGAGTTGGTACAACATTGACGACAAACTATTATTTCATTCATTGCCACAAATGATTGTCTCGAAAAATAGTATTGTAGTTGTGTTTTTATTATAGGTACTTATACTTTAGCCATTTTAAAAATAAGAATGAGTCTATTGTATATTTTGGAAAGTTTAGAAAATAAGTGGTAAAAAAATAAATTTTAAACGCGTTGATGACGAAATGGGTATCTCCATACTAAGACAACATTCAATACTTTAGGCAAATTATTATCTCCCTCAATTCGATCACTGTGGATGCGAACGGTGCGATTTATTCAAACGTCAAGGCCTCGCCACAAGTGCAATAACCTTAACAAAAAATATAACAGGTGCCATCTGTTGGCCTTCTCAAATATTATTACAATCGCATCGTGGGTTTATGTGGTACCATCTATTGACCACCGATCAGAATCAAAATAAGCGTCCGAATAAGCGGAGTTATGAGTGCGACATTTTCTTGTATGAGATTGAGTATCTGTACTAGTATAGTATTGTATTATCTGTGTCTATACACATATTATAAGCCCTCTTGTGATGTGTTTAGGAACCGCAAGTTACGACTGGCGAAATGGCGGCAAATAATAACTTTTCTCACGCATGTCACACAGCCGTAGTTTTTATTTTTAATTCATGGACAAACTAGAGTCGGCCCCAACCATCATATCGTTCGACATTAAGTAATGTGTGAAAATTGTCAAAATTGTCTGCTATTAACATTGACTTACAAATAAATGGACGACGGGTCTAATACAAAAACCACGAAAAAAATGTCCCAAGTCAACCTATTCGAAATTTAAATTGTTATGTCATCGCAGTATCGCGCTGTCAGTAGAACAAATGAAGACTAAAGCGGAGTGTCGCGCTCTGTATACGATTTTAGCGCCTTACAAGTGCGGACACTTTTTAGCGCGAACCCGACGTCCATATAATTGTAAGTCAATGGCTATTAACATTTCATTACGAATAAAACTTCATATCGACTGATATTAGAATTGAGGTCGAATCAAATTGTTTTGTTTTTCAGAGATATTCGAAATTTGAATGTAATAATAAAATCGAATTTGACGTTATTATTATGCAATAACATTTTCACAGATAAACAATTTATTGTAACAAAACAGTTTATCTTTACGGAAGGTTTATGATATGTGTGTAGATAAATAAATAACTGACTGCTGGGTGGAGGCAGCTTCGGCAGCAGCGGCAGCAGGCGCTGCACGACGACGCGCCGGTCGGTGAGACGCGGCCGGCCGCGGCGCCAGCGTGGGAGCCCCTCCAGGGTCATAGGTTTCGCGCACTGCGGACACAACAGCCATATATCGCACTCTCAGTGATAAGGGAGTTACCACATTTATCGACACGGAATCCTATTAAAAATCGATAGTACCTCATCTCGAATTCGTATGTTTACCGTACTAACAGTGTCCGTTACGTTTTCAAAGGAAAACAACACAGAGAATTACTGAACGACACATTACATTAGTTATATGGCAACTCCATTCATTCACGTTAAAAAAAAAAATTGTTATATGGAATAGTAAACTTACTTCGTTTTCAATCCTAGGTGCGATAGGTGTCGGGTGTCTGAACACAGCTGTGGCTTCCTCCGCCTTGACCGGCAATGGCGAAGAGACACACGTTTGCTTCTGCAAAACAGCAATTAGTTTGTTGGTGTAATGAAGATACACGTTATGTTGTATTATGTATGCTATGATACGTAATCAGAAGGAGGGTGAACAAAGTGAAAACACCAAAGTTCGGTTCACGAAAGTTTCGTTTCTATTAAAATAGTCTAGTTACATATAGTATTTAATGTGTAAAACTACAGTGCACGAGTTAACGTAAGGAAGAGCGGGGAGCGACTGGCGATCGCCTGCTCGGAACTACGAAAATAAAAATGTGCTAACATGACAAAACGTGACATTGATGAATATAGGTACCCCTATAAGATATAGACGTGATGAATGACGCACATTTAAAAATGGACTCGTGCTATATAGCTCGAAATTGCAAAGGTAGAGCACATGACTATTATAAAAAAAAATCTTGAACAGAATACTCAAAGAAATTTAATATAAATGTGGAAGCGAAACGCTTCCTGCGAATCCTGGGAATATCCTCAACAGGGGTGGAACCCCAGCCCACGTCTAATACCCCGATGATGGAAAGGTGAGGGTGGAATCAAATTATGCAATTCCATCGCACTCTCCGTGATATGTCCTGTAGAATACCGATAAGCAGGCAACTTCATAGCGGTGTTCAAGGCTCTGCAGTTTCGCCTCTATTAATACCTGGGCCTGTTTCCTCTGCTGCGCACAGACGTGGCCGCAGCTGCAGCGCGCGATCGTCGCCCCGCTGCCCGCGTTCATGTGTGTGTTGCCCACCAGCGCCAGGAGGCGTTTTAACCTACAACAAAAAATAACATGTTACAATATTTCATTTCTTATGTTACAACAATTTAAGTTATTAATAGATTCAGGCGTTACTTTGCGGATGTCCACGTTAATAAAAATGGAAGGTAATTAATTTTGTCACTCCGCGAACCCAGTGAAGGTTAAATCGTGCAAAATACCTGCGCATGTGTAGTATATTCTTTCATGCAGTTAATTTTCCGTCTACATCAAATTAATAAAATAAATAACACATAGTAATAAACAGTTGCTGTTTTGTCCTGTGTATTTTGTATCCTTGTATTATAAAACGATAAATAAAAAAGAACGCTTCAATTCTATAATGGACTGCGAGTAGTACCGTGGATTATTCTGACAAGACAAAATATTTATTGAGATATCATCAAAAACCACGGTAACGTATTACAAAGTCGAAATATTTTTGTCCGAAATAACGTTTGATCGAATTTTCATAACACCGAAAACCGAATTATAACGAAACAGATCCAGTTATTTCAGGATATGTTGAACACTTATCGCAAAAACACGATTAGGTTAGGTTAAGTTAGGTTTAAAAGAAAAAACATTTTCCCCTCAAAATGCATTTCGAGGTTCTGAAATTTCGACCAAACGATATTTTTGGAAAATGTCATTTCGAACTATTGATAAGTAACCAAAAACCATAACCCAATTTTACAATATTGAAATTATTAAATGATAGTCGAACACGTTAACTAAGTGTAACTTAACTGCCTCCGTGGCCGAACGGTTACCATGCCGGACTGCCACGCAGAGGTCCCAGGTTCGATTCCCGGGCCGGGAGAAATGTTTGTATGGCCTACATTTATTTCTCTCGTGAGTTTGGGTGTAATTTGTGGTTGTCTATGTGTGTGTCCATGGCACCCGCGACACAGGGTTTCCCTAGTGCGGGGCTATGTTGAGTGTGTGCGTTATTTATTATTATTATTATTATTATTAACTGTTTTTAAAAGGGAATTTTGTGTTCTACTTTTTTCTATTTAAAAAGGATATTTGACCATTTGTCACATAGCTGCGTTTTAGTCATTGGACGGCAATATTGTTAAGGTACCTGTCGCTCAGCTGTGCGAATCCATTCTGTGCAGTGGTGACAGTAGGACCTGGCCTGTTCACCAGTTTGTTCACCAACTTGAGAGTGGCGGTGGTGTTCGACGACGATTTGTGATCTGGCGACGCTAACTGTTCACCTGGAAAGTGAAAAATATAAATATGTAATTTCTGGCTATCCTACTGGGGCACGATAAGCCGTTTGTGATTTACGGAAGTATGCAATTCTTTTCTTTTTATGATGCTAAGTAAGTAAGTTCCTGGTGGGAAGCGACACGCCTGTTCATAGCAGTTACCGTGCCACTCAGAGCTTTAAATAGCAAAGATCTGAGGAACACTCCGCTGCCCCCGTCACCCTAGGACATCAAGTTGACAAGTCCTATGTGATTTCACCAGCACCTCCTTCAAAATCGGAACTGGTTGGTTAACACATTCACTAGGAGTCAGCGCTGTTTACTGTTGGGTAATTTTCCGAAAAATTTCAAGAATTTAGTGGCAATTTTTATAGGAACATCTTTGAAAAATTTAATATATATATATAATTCGAAGGCTCATAATATGTTCTTCGTTTAGAAATATTTTTTGTTTTATTTAACGTGAATTATAAAATAAAATTGCACAGCTAAAAAGCAAGTCAGCGAAAAACTAGATTCAAAATGACTAAATGGAGTGGAAACGTGGGCACTAAAAAAAGGCGGAACGTGACGGCATTCACGTCTTCGAGATGTGGTTCTGGAGGACAATGTTGGGAGTCCGTTGGCCTGATTTTCGCACCTACGACTCAATTTTGCGGGAACTTAACGTCCATCTTTATGTCTACGTAGGATACTTGATTTCTTTGGTCACATTGCCAGGAAAGACGGGCACAACTTCGAACAACTAATGGTCAACAGACGGATCGACTGCAAAGTCCGAGGGATCGCTGTCCCATAAGGACCGACGAAGTTGTATGGCTCTCAGCATGGTTCTCCATAATGCGCGCTCCACTATGCCAATGACCGTCCCAGATGGTACAGCATTGTCATGCGGAGCTTGGTGGAGCCACGACCTTCAGTAATGAGGTATACGAAGCTAGGAGGAGGAGCAACACTAGATAAATAACGCACACACTCAACATAGCCCCACACTAGGGAAACCCTGTGTCGCGGGTGCCATGGACACACACATAGACAACCACAAATTACACCCAAACTCATGAGAGAAATAATTGTAGGCCATACAACTATTTCTCCCGGCCCGGGAATCGAACCTAGGACCTCTGCGTGGCAGTCCGGCACGGTAACCATTCGGCCACGGAGGCAGTTAAATCTGTTAATCTGATCTGTTAATCTTCCTCCAGTGAGGCCTGTTCTGTTAAAGGTCTAGATTATTTCAGAGACAGATTATTTTCTGAAAACAATTAAGCAAAATACATCTGGTCTGGTTATAAAAAAAAGAAATTTACTTTTCCGTTCATCACCGGACAATCCATCATTGCTATCCTGACTGAATGTGTTCTTTGGCGAGAAAATATCAGTGTCACTCTCGCGCTTGTCGATGTCATCGGCACTCTCCTTATCGGGAGTTTTATCTGCCTTCTCTTTCTTCTCCTTGTCTAACAGAGGGATGTCCACCGTCTTGGGTAAAGGAGGGGTGGGTTCTGCCCACCAGTAGTCCAGTTCCAGCTTGGACCGAGAGCCGAACTGAAATAGTTTTTTTAAAGCTTCATTAATGCCATTATCAAAATTGGATGTAACTTCTGAAATAAATAATTCGTAACATGAAACTGCCAGAGCTATGATACGAAACCTGCTTTTACTAGTTTTGCAAGATTTGTCAAATTGACAGCTAAGACAAGCTTCACGGCAATGCAAAAGTGGTTACTCCATTATTATTATTAGAGATGAATATGAATATTATTAGATAAATGGAAACTACATGATCGTTGACTTAATTAGTTAATGTAATTAGTTCTTACTACACATGAAAAGTAGTTTTAATTTAAAATGCAATATCGACTGTGAATTGGCAATCGGTACTATCTCAATTTTGATAACTTTGCACGTTGAAGAAAAAAATTGTTTGCGTCATTTATATAGCATTTGGTTTATTCAATAAAAATACGTAGTGTATAATGTATAAAAATATTTAAAAACTACGTATTTTTGTTTAACAAATCAGATGCTATATAAATGACGCAAACAATTTTTTTCTTCATCCCGTAAAGTTGTAAAAATTGAGATAGTACCGATTGCCAGTTCAGTCGATATATAACAATATTAACTAACTTCATGGGTAGTTCTACTAGGGAAACCCTGTATCGCGGGTGCCATGGACACACAAATAGACAACCACAAATTGCACTCACGGGAGAAATAGATGTAGGCCTTACAAATATTTCTCCCGGCCCGGGAATCGAACCCGAAACCTCTGCGTGGCAGTCCAACGTGGTAACCGTTCGGCCATGGAGGCAGTAAAAAGTAAGCCTGAGACATAAGTTGACAAGTCCCATGTGCCTGTAATTTCACCAGCACCCTCTTACCCTTCAAACCGGAACGCAGTAATGCTCACATTACTGCTTGATGGCAGAAATAGGTAAGGTGGCAATAGTTCTCTGGACAAACCCTTTCGCGAGGAACTCTACTACTGGGTTGGTGATTTCACACGTTTTCAGGGCTTACGAAGATGACATTTTTTTCATTTTCGTAGACAGGCAAATACGTACCATCAAATATAAGTCTCCAATAGTAAGATCACCAGCATCATAGACACTCCAGCCCTTCCGGATCTGCCGCATGGCCAAGTCCAGATCGATGTCGGGTTTCTCCTCCTCTTTTGAAGGCTCCTCAGACTTCGCTTCATCTTGCTCCTTATCGAGGACTACAGCGTAGGTGCTGCCGCCGCGGGGACCATTTTTCGGGCGTACTCTGAACTTTACCTAAAGGATAGGTTACTTTTGTTAATACGCCTAAGTAAATATCGCGTTCTGAGGTTTTCGGGGTTGAGATATGACCAGAGATGCGCTGGGTTTAAATGGAGTTAATACCATTAATACCCGAAATCGAGGGCAAAACTTTTACAACTAAATATTTGTTGTAAATCGAGATTTGTTCACATTTAATGATATTATTATAAAATATCGTTAGATCGTATGCACTTGAATCGATTTTTATAAAATTCGAATCGTATTGTGCATCCTTAATAGCGAGAATCCACAGGATTGCAAGGTAAGTGTGTGTGGAGTTACCTCTTTTTTGTCTAAATTTGCAATAAGTATGGAATTATACCAATTTCCGTATTCGTCGTTTCCGCCCACGATTTTGGGCAGATATGGGTTAAAACTTCGGGTAAACCACCACCACAATTCAAATAAATGTTACAAATGTACAAACAAATATCCAAATTAATATTTCAATTGTTATAGCATTCAAATAAAATGACGAGTTTAATGGCCTCTACAGTACACTGCGTCTTTGTCTATAAAACACCACTCAGTTCGATGAATTTGTATTCAAAACTGGACCAAAGATAGTCTAAACTGCGCTAGCACGGGCTTGACATAGTACCTTAAGATTTTTAAACTTGCTCTCCTTCCCAACCTTGTCCTTGCCATGGTCGCTTTCGTTGTCTGTGTCGCTTTTGTTGTATTTCTCGTCGTCCTCCATCTCCGAGAAGCTGTCTTTCTCCTTCTCGGATAGATCTTTTTCCCTTTCTATGAAAATATTAAAATAAACTGTAGCACTCTCACTCAATAACAATGTGTCTGACGAAGACATCAATTACATTCAATAAAATAATTTGTAAAACGTAATGTAGCGTAAATTGGAATGTTTTCTTTGTAAAATTAAAAATAAGGTATTTAATTAATAACTTTTGTAACTATAGCGAAAAAATAGGGTGGTTTGCATTAATATTAGACATAACTGGTTGATGACTGTACTACCTCAGGACTTATTCGTCTCGTCACTTGATATTATAAAAAAAACCTCAGTCAACCGTGACCATGGGACCTGTAAAGGGCCCGAAACGCCGGTTTGTTTGAAAAAAAAAAAACAAATATACGCGAATTAAATCTGGAAAAATTATTTAACTTCCTATGTTTAACAATCGTGAAAGCCCAAGAACTCGATATCAATTAGCTGGTTACAATTTAGTGTGTTCCCTATACTTTAAGTACCATAGAAACGAAATTGATCGAGAACACCCACGTGTCAGAACCCATTCGATATTATTTTTTTAGATCCGCAGTAGGAAGACCGCACTGTTTCGCGGGTGTCATGGACGCATGCATACACAACCACAAATTAAGCACAAACTCACTAGAGAAATTAATGTAGGCTATACAAATATTTTTCTCGGCCCGGGAATCGAACCTGGGACTTCTGTGTGGCAGCCCAGTATGGTAAATGTTCGGCGACGGAGGCAGTTATACTGAAAATCGATTGGTTGAAATCCGTTGGACCACCAAGTCGTCTCTAACGGTTTGCACTGAGGATGTTGGGTTAGGTGTTCCCGGGTTCGATTCCCGGTAAGACTAATTTGGGAACTGAAATGAACTTTAGTAAATGGGTTCTGATCTGGGTGTTCTGGGTAGTGTTCCAGTGCTTCGGAGTGAATTCTATTGCTCTAGTACTCGTAGAACATGGAATCCTTGAAAACAGGTAATAGATGTGGTTGTGTCTCCCAAGTTAATCCCGCTAGGAATCGAACCCACGACCTCCACGTCTAGCATCGACAGAGCTAATTGCATCGTCAAGGTCGTCAATGCTTATTAAGTTAGATTATTTTAAGTCTATAACTCAAACGCATTAAATAACTCACCGGGTATCTCCACTTCTTCCTCAACAACCTCTTCAAACTTTCCCTCCTTCTCATCCTCCGTGCTGGGCTTCTCCTCATCATCAATCGGTTTAAAGCTGGCCATCAACTCTATACCATCAATGGCGGTTTCATCGATGTTCATTAACTTCGCATCGTCGTCGAGTTTCAGTTTTTTTGGTTCAAGTTCTTTGTCCTTTTCAGTTGTGCTGTCTTTACGTTGGCGTTTTGGTGTGCGGATCTTAGCTGTAGGGAAAAAAGTTTTTAGGTTAGATAAACTTGCAGATAATAATTTATTTACTGACCTCAAAACTCAAAAACATCTTTATTTCATAGGTAAGCAAGTTACACTTGAAATAGTCACATTGTTTAAACTCTAAAATTCATTCGTAAAACCGATTATCCTGTGAAGCCCTAGGGATATGAATAGGCGAGTTTCTATATATCTTTTCCTGCTTAAGCATCTTTTGTGCTAAGTGCCCTGACAATTATTATGATAGTATGGGAAATTTGACAGTTCAGGAAATTTGTTGATTTAGGAAATTGTATAAAAATACTATAGTTTAGGAATTCTCTCGTTACATCAGGAAATTCGTTACTTTAGAAAATTCAATAGTCCATAAGCGAGGGTTTTGGAAATTCGATAACTCGAGAAATTTCATAGTGTAATGGGCGTTTTGTAATACGATTTCTTTAAATTTTCATTAGTCGAGGAAATGAACACATTAATTTATTATTTCGAATAATGATATAAAAAGTAAAATTAATCTTTTTTGCTGTGTATTTATTTTATTTTATTTTATTTTTTTTATTTTTATTTTTTTTATTATTATTATTATTTTTTTATTTTTATTTTAGTTGTGTAGCATTAGAGCTCTTTTGAAAGAGTTCGTCCAGGGTAGTACTGCTGCTCTGAATGGCACTGTAACTGTTATGAACAGGCGTGTAGCTTACCATTAGATGCACGACTACTTCGTCCCATCACTTGGATGTTATAAAAAAAAGAATGTCTATAAAAAAAACTACATACCGGCTCCACCGTCTTTGTCTCCACGCATTCTTTCCAAATAAGACGAGAAACAAATCTTTTGGCTGGAGAGCTGTTCGCTTGGACTCACTACAGGAATGTGGATCTCTGCGTTCGTTCGAGGACCAACGTGGAGCACAGATTTTTTAGGCAGTTTCTGTTCTGTGGAATAAAAAGATAGCAAACTATTTGGGCTAATTTCATGTTCACAGGTTGTGATTTCGATTGTAGCTTTTTAGCGTTCAATCTTCTACAACTGTCCACGAAACCCTCTTAATTGAAAATAAACAACCAGTTTACAATTTACATACATACATATTATACAGTTATATTATACAGTTTATATTATACAGTTGTCGCTAGGGACCGCGTAAATTACGTCACAATTTTGTATGGCAAATTAAATAGCGCCCCTAGCGGTCACAAGAAGAAATAACGTTTTGTATACAAAAATCTTACGCGGTCACTAGCGATAACTGTCACTGCAATCTCATGGTTGAGGCCATTGACTTACAATTATATGGACGTCGGGTCCGCGCTAAAAAGTGTCCGCACTTGTAAGGCGCTAAAATCGTATATAGAGCGCGACACTCCGCTTTAGTCTTAATTTGTTCTACTGACAGCGCGATACTGCGATGTCATTACAATTTAAATTTCGAATAGGTTGACTTGGGACATTTTTTTCGTGGTTTTTGTATTAGACCCGTCGTCCATTTATTTGTAAGTCAATAGTTGAGGCACTTAAAAGAAAATCTGTTTGACAGTATAAGTTAACTAACTGCCCCCGTGTCCAAATGGTTACCAAGATGGATTGCCACGTAGAGGTTCCGGGTTCGATTCCTGGGCCGGTAGAAATATTTGTATTGCACACATTTATTTCTCTCGTGAGTATGGGTGTGATTTGTGGTTGTCTATGTGTGTGTCCATGGCACCCGTTATACAGGGTTGCCCTAGTGCGGGACTATGAGTGTGTTGTGTAAGTTTTCTCGTATCGTATGGGTACCTTGTGTAATCATTTTATCAGGCTCCAACCCTAGATGGTCCTCGAGCTCGTCTTTTTCCTCTTCTTCGGCGCACTGCCTAAGCTCTTGATAATCCTCAGGGTCCTTGTTCTGAAGATCGTCGATGTTATTTTCCACTTTCTCAACTGGTTTTCTTTTACACTGTGCTTTTGTTAAGAGGCTTATACTCATATTTATTAATCTCAAATAGGTAGTTCACCTACTGATATTTATATTAGTCCTAATTGGACATAGTTAAGTAAAAAGAATCCAATCCACAAAATTATCAAAAAATGACATATAAATCAAACGGTTTCTAAAGTCTAACCTCTTAGATGAGTAAAACAAATCCAACATATATACATAAATAAATATCTCTAGAGTTACATGACACTATAAATATTGAAAATTTAACAAGAGTGAGAAACACTTTTAAACTTCAAACTGTCACATCGCAAACGTGACTGGATGTGTATTGGATCCTTTTTGTTTAACTACGTCCAATTGACCTTCATAAATTCGGTTCTTCCATGCGATGGAGAATTTGATTTAGTGACCTATAATTACTGAAACTGCCCTCAAATTTAAAGACAAGAACCGATCTTCTGTCCATTATCTTACAGAGCAGAGTGGAGAATAACCATACAATAAGTCTAGTAATGAGACCTAACCCATCGAATGACTAGTTCTGAAAATGGTTGACTCTCTAAAGAAAACAATTTGATGGCTTTCTAGAATAGTTGCCTATATCGTACATCATCGCGACATTATCATGTGATTATTTTAACTAATTAATAGCTCAGTGTGAGTTTAGCGTTTAGCTCACGAAGCTAAAGTGGAGCTGAAGTGGAGACAAGATAACAGATGGAGTAAGGCGATAAATGAGTGGCGTCTAAGGACTGGATGCGGGAACGTTGGGCGTTCAGAGGCGAGATGGGCGGACGACATCGCAGGAATTGCGGGGCAAATCTGGATGACATAGCACGGGAACGCAGCACCCAGCAGTGGGTGAAGTCAGGCTGTATATCGCACACTGAGAATTAGAACGTCACTATACAAAACACTAATTTTTTTTATTTATAACGCCATCTTGGATTTGGGAGTACGAACTTTATAATGCAAAAAGCACCGCGTACGTTGTCTGGCTAGAATTCATGCTGTATAAAAGGAATGGGGCTTAGGAGACAGCGCGATACCGACATTTTTTTACTAGTGACAACTCAGCAATCCTGTACCATATCGTTTTGCATTAAGACTAATATGGTACAGGATTGCTGAGTTAGACTTACGCGGGATATATGGAAAGCATTCACTAAAGTTATCCTCTTATTTTCGAAGTTTAAAATTAAATTTCATGACATCATAAGAAATATTAATTTACATGACAAGAATGTTAAATTACAGCTTGAAAGGCATAGTAACACTAAACGATATTCTCAAAAAATACTTTTATTTTACTGTGGTAGGTGAAAACTGTGTAGGTCCCCTTTTATGTTGCTGAAAACGACAAAGTCGAATATTTTGCATTGTGTCACTATTAGGCTCAATTCACACTGGCGCAGAGTCGAAGCGTCGCGTCGCGTCCTGTCTCTCAACCACAACGCCTGGCGACACGAATCGACGCGTGACGACGCACGCCCGCATTAGCGCGTCCGGATCACAGTGTGGTAGGCGTCTGACGCTTAAATAACGCGCGAAGCCACTCGACTCGACACGCGTCCACGTTTTACTTCATATTTGCTTAACACAAATTTGTACCTTAATAATGGGAAAATAGAGATGAATAGGCGAAAAACACGACGCGTCGCGACGCTTCAACACTGCGCCAGTGTGAGTCGAGCCATATTCTTTGTGTGCGATATGATGACGATGATTTCCTGAACGAATCTCAGTAATAAATCAAAAAACGAATTACTTCGGATTGGGCCAGTGTCCTTGAAAAGCAGCACGTTGTACACAAGTAACCAATACTAGAAATGGCCAATCGTGAGAAAGGATACGTATCGGGCCCAGCGCTTGTGCAGCGCGTGCAGGAAGGTGTCGAGCCTGGTGCGCAGCGGCGCGGCGGCTGCGGCGCGCGGGTTGTGCGCCGCGGCCTGCACGCGCGCCCACGCCGCCGCGTCGCGCGCGAACAGCACCACCTGCGCGCGGGAGCACACGCGCGCGCCGCACGCCCGTTCTGCAGGGGAGCGGTGCCGGTTCGTAAATTTTTAACACAGTTGCTCAAACGTGGTATCTTTCGGACTACAAATCGTGCCGAAAGTTGGATTTTTCGCACTAGTGCTTTTTACTTTTCCATTTTTTTTATTTACTGTTGTTTCAAGTCTTAAACATAGAACTCGGCATTAAAACTTATATTTAGATATAACTTATATTATAGAGTAAAGATGGCTGATTGAGTTTTAACAATAGTAATTTTAATGTGGCTAAATACTGGCAACAGTTGCCATATTGAAAAAAGTCAGCCAAAAAATGACTATTTTTACAATACTGTTCTATTTTACTTTAAATGTAGTTTTTTTCGCAAATTATTAAAAAACGTCGTTTGATACACGTGCGGATTCGTCATTTTCACTTGTTCCGAAGCCTCGAGACTCGTGAACAATGACTAACTTTCCGCACTTGTATCAAAAATAACTATTTCATTCGTGAAGAGCGAAAAAGACGTTACCCGTTTCACTTCACTTGACGGCTTTTTCACTCTTATTACATGCACACAGAGCTTTTCCTGACAGCTTACCGCGATTCCGTATGACTAGAGTCATTTGGATTTTGACGTACACTTTTAAAAAGTCATGGAACAAAAGTTGTTGTTTATATTAGTTCGTCCAGGGAAGAACCGCCACCTTACCTATTTCTGCCAAGCAGTAATGTGAACATTACTGCGCTCCGGTTTTGAAGGCTAAGTAAGGCTGCTGGTGAAATTACAAGCACTCAGAGCGACGGGTGCAGTGGCAGTGACCCTCAGATCTTTGCGATTTAAAGCGTTGAAAAGCACTGCACCTGTTAGGATAGGCGTGTAGCTTACCACCAGGCGCACGACTACTTCGTCTCGTCACTTGATATTTTAAAAAGAACATAGATGTAGCACAAGCATTAGATTATTGTCACACAAGGCAATTCCTAATGCTTTGATGACCAGAGCAACTAATAAACGTCAAAAGAAGTTCTACTGACCGGTAATCTGATTGAGTTTCCTTAGAGCGCGGCACATGGGCGTTCTGACTCTTAGGTTCCTCCCCCTCGCACGCACCACCATGCTACCCCCTACCACGAGCTCGCCAAGCCGCGCGCACGTCTTCTCGTTCACAGACGCTAGCTTTTTACGCAGCTCCCCGTAGTTTATTAAAGCGTAGAGTTCTTGAGCCACTTTTTTTACGGCTGAAAGAAAATG